TCGATTTGTCTCTAAACATTACCGACGAGTGTCGACCACTCAGATAATTTGCCGACCACCGTTTGAGCCTCTGTGGGAGAGAGGAAGCCTCTATATCTTCTAGTAGCGTTGGATGACTGACTGTGTCGAACGCCTTGCACAGGTCCAACGCTACTAGAATAGTTCTCACACAGGGACGGTTATCTGAGTGTTTATGGCGTTAAGTGCTGTTGTTGTACTGTGCACTTTACGGAAACCATGCTGATGCTTCGCTGGGGTCAGGTGGTTCGTGAAATACGGGAGCAGCAAGGTAGTACGCGCCTCTAACCACTCGGCTACAAATAATATTTAAAGATATTTAGCAGTTGCTAAAACTGATGTAATTAGAGTTGAAGTGTTTGGGACATGCTAAATACATACTTAAGAATTGGAGTAATAGTATCTTCAACAAACGAAACTCACGTTCAATGAACATAAGAAATCAGCATCCTTTATAAATGCTCTTAATTGAGGACCATCAAAACTTCCCGCTTTTCTCTTTTCTATTAGAAACCCATTGACCGTTTTATTTTATAAGGCCCAGCTTTACCATTACCATTCCGTAAAAGCACAGAGTTTAGGTTTCGTTTAGAACTGTCCATAAAAAGACTTCATTCATATGGCTGGTATTCCGTTAGACCCCTTTGCAAACTAATTCCTGGCACAACTGAAGACAAAACAATATCAAGTGTTGCTTTCTTGTACGATAGAACGTCACTTTAATAGCCAACACCAAACAGTTTTCTTCTTTTAATTTAGAAGCTATTACTTCTGCAGTTTCTTTAGATAGTTCCAGATCCCTTATCAAATCATTGAATTCCTCTTGGCTTAAATGTTTGGGTCATTTTTGTCATTACAGTGTTTCAAAACCGGCGCTTATGACGACGAAATCGTCAATTCGGCAACGCTGGTATGTACATATGTTTCTTTATACAAGTTTTCGTACATACATATGTACTTATAAAATAATAAAATTTTATTACGTTTATAACCTTAGGGTTAGCATACATAAAAAAAAAATAGTGGCGCACCATATATTACGGAAATATGAACGTTACGAAACTTACTAAATTAGCTAGAGTAGCCACCATAGTCACTAATAAGACCATCATCATCGCTAAAGTTAATGCATTGGATGAGGCATTTCACCAATTATGCTGGTCAATTACTGGCGCGTAAATGTAAAAACTCACAATGGTTGAATGGCTCCATAGACATTTACATACATGTGTATCTATGTATGTGTATTAGGGAGGCCCTTAAAATCAAATAATAACTTTTTTTTTCAGTCTCACCCCCTCAATCGGTACTACCACAGTCGTAATATCACATATAAATTTTGGTCCCATTTGGACTTAGTAAAGGCGTGTCGCAAAGGGGTCGAAGGCCAAATGCCTCTATGGACTCAAAAAAAAATCTTTTTTTTTTCATTAACTACCCAAAATCGAAAATACTGAGGTCAAGGATATCACATATCAATTTTGGTCCCGATTGTAGTCGGTTAAGACATCTTCATAGGGTAATCTGAAATTTGACCCCTGTGCGGCACACCGACTTCAATCGGGCCAAAATTTATATGTGATATCTTCGACTATGGTTGTAGGTATAGATTTAGAGTATTAGATGAAAAAAAAAATTATTTTAATTTTTTGAGTCTCCGAGCGTGTGTGAATCGGTAACAAGGTTCGCGGCAAGTAAATTTTTGACAAGTTTGAGGTGAATAAAATTTCAGTAGCCCATGAGGCTAGTGAAATTTTTGACAAATGCGTAGAAAATTTTGACAATTGCAAAGATTGCTGCTGTGTGTAATTTTTCGTAAAATAAAAGCTTAAGTTGATGAACTGCAATCAATGATGGTAGATGTTTTCTTAAAATATTAATTTCACTCAATTTGTAATAGTTTATTGCGCATAAATCTGCGGTTATCAAAAATTTACTGCTGTCAAAAAAGATTTAATTTCACACAGCAGATTGGCAAAACTGTCTCACCATAGTAAAAATATTATTCAACAGCTTTCCCCATAGAACTTAGCTACCGATTCACACACGCCCTCCATATAGGAATCTGAACTTTGTCCCCTGTGCGACACGCCTTAACCGTCTCCAATCGGCACCAAAATTTATATGTATGTGATATCTTCGACTATGACTTGGCGTTGAGGCTTAGAAAATCTGATGTAAAAATTTGCTTCCCACATTTAAGGACCACCCTTGTTTATATGCATTAATACATATGTATGTATGTATGCCACACCAGTGTATACCACCCGGTATCGAGTGAAATGTTTCTTTTATATTTGCCATTTTTATGAATTTCTTCCCCATACGAGGGGACTAACAAAAGTTCGGTAAGTTGTGCGGAAAAAACCGTGCAAAAATGTTTTTATTTTCTTATTTTTAATCTTCATTACTTTTTCCGCATTATGACAATTAATTTCAATACATTTCTGTAATCAAAATCGCATTTTTAGAAATAAGCCGAAATCACACAGCGCGTGATCTACTCCACCAGGGATATGCGAATATCTTGCCTTGGATGCCAGAAAGCGCGAAATCGAAATAAGAAATTAATTCATAGAGGATTGATTTAAAACGGGTTTCCGAGTAAGAAAAGTCCTGAACAGAAGAATTTGAGAGCAAGTTGAATGCCTTTAGAGCCCTGAATATAGAAGCATTAGAAGCACACATATCCAAAGAGAAAGGGACGCGATTTCCTAAACATCTCTGTTTCACAGCGAAATGGATACGTCCAAGCAAGTATGGGGCAATCTATGACACCACGTATTAAGTTAGAGACAAAAGTAAGGGAGAGAATAGACCACCTACAATCTAATAACTTAAGAATAATAAGTAGAGATCTACCTCGGTAGGAAGGTGAACGAAATGCAGAGAATGAAGGGCAAAACGAACAAATTTTTTGTTTTGGATACGTTCAACTCTATTGATATGGCAAGCATAGTAAAGTCTCTTAAATTACGGCGGTATAGTCTAACTTGGAGCGCACCAGTTCTAAGAAGCTGGTATCGGAGAGCGAGATTTTGGGAAGGTGACATGATGGCACTTAATTATATTTAATGACATACCGTAAGATCCATGTACAATTTTTTGGTTCTTCAAAAACTGCTTAATTTACCGAACTTTTGTTAGACACCCCATAGATCCATATTAAAGTGTTTCACTTGTTTCTAATAATGAAATAAATGAAAGTGCACATTTGCCGATGAAGACGCAGACCATACCCAAATGTGCCGTGTACCGAAAATGAATACACCCATCTTGTGAAAGGAACGTGATAGCCGGAAAGAGGGGCAAAAACAACGCAACGACTAAAAATCATGCATACATATTGCACTTACGTATGTATATGTACATATACATACATACATGCATACAATAGTAGAGAAGTAGGAGTAGGTGTTTGCAATTGTGACCAGCTGGAACGCTGGCGTAGCTGTACTGCATTGTAATTAAAAGCAAGCTCCATTGCCACCCCGTCAAAGTAATGATTGTTGCTTCTGCTATTATACCCATTGTCGAATAGGGCGAAAATGGAAATTTTTACATTCATACATATCTATGTGTGTAGTTTTTTTATTTGTTTGAATTAGAAGCGATATAAAATTATTTATTAAATGAGTTTGTCCAAACATTATAGTGACTGCTTGCCGGGTTTGCTGAGGACCGGTATGAGGATCAGAGTGACTTGTGGGGGCTTGCAGCGAACGGTAGCAATATGTAAAAACAGAGTGCTGGTAGGTACACTGTGTGCAATTTTTACGCGCCGCAGAAATCAATACGGTTGCGTGTGCCTGGCTCACAGTGGTTTATATGTACATACATACATATGCCTGTCATAGTTGCCAACTTAGTGCTTTAAGCACTAGATTTAGTGCTTTTTGAAAAATAAACGCCAAAAAAATGGTTTAGTGGTTTCTGAACTAAAATTTCTGAATTTACAAGAATCTAAAAATTTAAAAGTACTAAAATGCAAACCATGATTGATAAAAAGATGAAGTTGCAAACCCACGATCTTGCGTTCTTGTTAAATTGTATGCGCGTTGAAAATGCTAGCACGTGGATAAGTTAAGTATTTATTTTGTTATTTTTTGATTATTGATTGATTACACAGTTCGAAAAATATTAACTTTTTTCCCCACCTGAGTGCATCGGTTTTTGTAGATTCTTCGGTGCTGAATACCAATCTAGCTGCAGAATTTCTATACCATCTCAGAATTTTGAGATATCCTACTCTCTAAGTGTACAAACACGGTTTTTCGCAGTATTTGAGGTTATATTATACAACAGCAAACTTTTTCGCTCATTTCTACTTAGGGTATCATTAAGTATTACTCTTCCCCTTTAAAATTCAATTTCGTTTGTTGCGATTCGATTGTTCCTTCTCCAGATGTACCAGTTTTAATATGCAGTACTTCGGTATTACTTGGCAAGCATGAATGTGTATTTATTTATACATGTAAATATTGTATACTTTTTTACTTTTGTTTACCACAAACTGTTATGAAAAATCGCAGACGATTTAACGATGAGCTGTATGAGCTTTACAACGATATAGACATAGTGCAGCGAATTAAAATTCAGCGGCTCCGCTGGCTTGGCCATGTCGTTCGGATGGACAGAAACGCTCCTGCTCTGAAAATATTCAACGCGGGCCGCGATGCTGGGAACAGAGGAAGAGGAAGGCCTCCTCTGCGTTGGAAAGACCAGGTGGAGAAGGACTTGGCTTCACTTGGCATTTTCAATTGGCGTCAGTTAGCACAGAAGAGAAATGACTGGCGTGCTGTTTTGGACTCGGCCAAAATCGCTTAGGCGGTTACAGCGCCAAATAAGAAGAAGAAGAAGAAGTTATGAAAAAGAGTATCCTTTGATTTAAAAAAGAATTTAGTGCTTTTAGTGCGGTAAAACGCTCTTTTTTCCAAGATTTGGTGCTTTTTGAAACTGAAAAGTTGGCAACACTGATGCCTGTGCCTGCCATCGTATTTTGCATAAATTAACCTTTTGACCAACGCAAACATGTAAAATAAGTAATAAAAGCACGTAAAGAAAAATATACTTACATCCCAAATATTTTTTGTTCAGTGCTCCCAGGAGTATCCAGACAGATGCCCAAGATCGAAAGCTGTCTGTTTCGGTCGTTTATATGCTGATGCCTTCTTAATATTTTGTCCACTATTTTATAACTTGTATTTGCATTGTTTTTTTTTACATTTATTCAAGGTTCACCAGACGGCACTGTTTTAATGTTGCGATAGCGACGGAAGTACCAGCCTCCAATATATTATGTATACACTCCCCAAAGTAGCTAAGCGTATATACACAAATTTATTAAAATGTAGCCACTTGAATATTAAAGTGCATTTGCTAAAACTCTGCTTTGTCTTTATAAAAGCGCTTTTGTGCCTGTTTCTACTTTACATAACTTGGTGGTAGCACGCTTTCACAGAGTTTAACAATTTATGGTAATGCAAATTCATGCCAAATCACCTTTTTAACAAACAAACAAAAAAAATCCGTCGTATAATATACCTACGAAAATTTCCTGCAATTTCTCATTTTTTAATTAGCTGGACTGCGCTATTTTCACTTATAATTGAATACGCAAAGTACTGCATGCAATTTTCTACCATTTCCCTCATAATTTCTCTTGCTTGCACACTTATTTTCAATATTTCTATTTACGGTCAAGTATTTATTCCGATTTTTTTGTTCTCTACTACTTCTACTCAAATGAATGTCATCTGTTTGGCAGACAGAACTGCGCTGCCCTGTACCACTCTGCCCCTGCAATGCTACACCACGACGTCAGTATAAATAAAAACAATTAACTACGCAGCGTTGCCACCTTAACATGTAAAACAAAACAAATCATTTCTTTTATAGCAGATAAACAACCATACTAAAATATACAGCCATCAGGTTATCTTCTTCTCGCTTACACTCTTGTGGTTGCTTATATATGCATTTTTTTCACTTGCTTCTAATCAAATAGCCCACAAGCGCCGCGTTTATTATCATGTCGCATTAGGTGGCAGCGCTGTCTGCGATAAAATAAAAATACAACCGCAGTCGGCGTCAACGGTGCTGATCTCTGCTACATAGGCCAAGGAACGCAACCTTTTCCACACAGCTACTGCAGCATACAAAACTTACTGGGGGTTGTACATATATACATATCTATATTACTGTATAGACTCGTATGTCCACCCCTGTGCTTGTTTATCTATGGTGGCGGCGACGTAACGTTCCGTTAGCATAAAAAAAACGCGTAAGCTAAAAGTCGCCGTATTTCTGTTCACTCAACACTGAAATGTAGGCGGTGCAACGCACTCACGTAAAACTCAAATGCATTTGCTGCTTTATAGATCAGAGTGAGTTGGGGCATTAATGCATCGTCCCGCTCGCACTTATGGTACATAGAAAAGTGCTCACTCGCCACTGCTTCTGCATACACGTTTACTTTGCTGTTGCCATACTTTGTTCTTTTTTACTGGTTTTTTTTGTTGGTCTGCCTTTTGGGAAATAAAACAAATTGAATTACAAAATTTGCTGGAACCACTACTTTTTCTTTTGATCGTTTTAACGTTTATTCACACATTCAAACATTTTGCAACCTAATGAATTTTAGAATATTCATTTGGCATAAAAATTACATATTGATTGCTAATAATTGTTTCAACGAATACTGCTGATTAGAGCCGTCACTTTTGCTACTGCTTCCGAACTGAACTAAACGAATTTTGTCGAAAATGTTGTCTATCCCTGTTGTTAGACAAGGACAGATGATTAATTGCAGAATATAACGTGCTCGTTTTAAAAGAAAATGCTGCCACGCTGTATCGAATATTGTCGGGTATACTTAAATGCAGTGTTGCCAACTGCAATTTTCAAAAAGGACCAAAAACTTGGAAAAAAGCGTTTTATCACATTAAAGCAAAACATTTTTTTGAATCAAAGGAAGCATTTTTAATAACAGTTGTTTTAACAAGAGCAAAAGATTACTAATATTTACAAGAATACATACATAAATCAATACACAAAACCTTTTCGCTCATAACGATTGAATAACCTCTACAAATGCTATGATGAGTCAGGCTTACGACGTAATACCAAAGTACTGCACATTAAAACTGACACATATCGAGAAAGAAAAGTCGAATCGCAAAAAACGAAAATGATGCCACAAGTAGAATTGAGCAATCGGTTATTTTTATTTGGTTAACGATTTAATTGTATCGAAATTTTCCTTTCGATTAATCGAGCCATCATCAAAAACTGACTATTTTACTGACACAATAATGTGTGAATCAAATTTCCGTAACAAAATTAATCGGTTAATTTCTTACGATTAATTGCATTTATTAATCGAATACTTTCGATTAATCAATTAATTTAATAAATTTGTTTACCATAACTAAGCGTATAAGCATTTTCAACGCAAATAGAATTCAACAAGGTGGGTTTGCAACTTCAGTTTTTTATCAATCATGGTTGTACTTTAGTGCATTTAAATTTGCAAATTCTTGTAAATTCAGTGTTGCCACGGCTTTAAATATTTCAAATTATTTCAGGTTTTAACTATCTCGCATATTCCAAGGCGAATTTATATAAGGTGCCCTACCAAGGTGTATTAAACAAGGTGGTGTTGGGGCGCCAGCTGAGTTTTTCACCGTGGAGGCCATTACGTCAAAATGATGTGTTTGTTGTAACTCATACCAATGACAGTATGGACATCAGCGTATTATTTGTTAGTGTAATTTTTTACTTATATACGGCCAACACCACCTTGTTAAATACGCCTTGGTGCCCTACAAGAATTGTGTGATGGAAATTAACACATTCTCATTTATCTTACTAACCCATTTGCAAATTTTACGTTGGTTAAAAAGAGACCAATATATAAGGCCATAAGTTGGAGGAAGACGGAAGATCATATGTACACAAATGTTTACATCAGATTTTTCACACTGCCCTTTAGAATGTGATAGAAACTTGTAGGTAGCCAGTGACAGAAATCTCTATCAGCCTTGCCAGTCAAATGATTTGTCAAATGATGGTCACTGTTCTTGCAGGGTGGTGTTACTAGATCAGCTGATTTTGTGTATGTGTTTCGCCTCACGGCTTCTTATGTCAAATTGAACAATTTTTTTTTTGAATTTCCATACACACTCTTAAGCTGATGTCACATAAAACTTTTGCTTCGCTTTACGTGACAGATTCGCTTTGACAGATAAGATGAATTGTATGAAAATGCACAAAGCATGCCACATAAATCGTTGAAGCGGCAGCGCGAAGCGAAAAGATGGTCAACTCCCATCTTTTTGCGCGCTTTGACAATCAGCCGGTTTAATATTTATTTTGTTTCGTCCAAATTCAAGTTTTCATGCAGAAACATAAAACTTAATTACATTGCTGATAATTTTAAATCAAAATAATTAAAATCCACAGCAACTTTGATGAGTAAAAAAGCGGTACAACATTGTTTTCTTGGCGTTCATTGTGGCATACCTTTTGCGTCTGGCGCTTTGCTGGTAAAGTTATAAATGTCACGCAAAGCTACAAAGTTTTATCTGGCATCAGCTTTACAGATTTTGACAGTTTATGCCGCCAAAGCAAAAACAAAATACATGTAAGTTTTTGTTATTGTACTCCTGCTATAACCTTATATAAATTCGCCTTGGTATATTCTCTACTAGTAGAGAAATAATCGGTAGAGAAAAGTTACAGAAACGAGCTACTGGTGACTAAGACCATTTGGTTCTCTATCTTAAACTACTTTCGCGTTGCAACTCGATTTGATGTCGTCCTAAATACGTTATAGTCTTTCTTGTGTTAGGCTTCGTGGAGAAAGTTGTGGATTTTAAATGCAACATTTAAAATCTTAATGGTATCAAGATTATGATAGTTGAGAGCGGTGTCTATATCTGTCGCTATCGTAGATGAGACTAAAAGATTTTGTTATTGCGTTTAGTTCAAACTTTGTAACATAAAAATTAACGTACATATTGTTTTGATGATCTAAAACAGGGATCACACGATTTGTACATTTATACATTTGGCTGTCACAGAGTGGTGTTGTCTAGAAATTTTGATCGAGAATGAGTTCAGCTCTACAGTAACTTTCCAAACAACACCAGTCTGTAACGGTAAAAACGAAAAAAACTGTGCGAATGTACAAATCATGTGATCTCTGCTAAAAACGGTCAGTAATGTTTCGAGATCGAAGCCGATGAGCCTCGCTACACTAGTATTTTTAGACCGTCTGCAACCGGTGTTTTATGGGCCTAAAGGGGAGGAGAGTAGTAATTTTCGTCAGCAACTTCAGGCGCCGGAAATGCGGTATGACTTCGGTCGGAAACACGCGCATAAAAGAATCTCTTACTAACACAACTATACACCGTATATGGAAACAAGTACATAACCAGTTTGAGACGGTCTGAAACGACTAGTGCATTTTCGCATGTCTTCTAAAAAGTCTTGTGTGCCGAGGCTCGATACGAATTTTTTTATATTTATAGTATTTGGTTTTTTCCCCAGTTTTGCGCTACCTTCTCAGACTCCTCTAGTTACCTCATTTCTTCTTTCTTTCAATAACTTTAGCCCTGACGTAGTTCTGGATCGAGAGTGGTTTCTTTATCTTTATATATTTATTTTATAAGTTTTAATTTCAGCCTACAATGCCCACCTATTCCCATACTAAATACATGTGATTTGATCTAACACGAAGATTTGGTTTTTAGGGCAGCCTGACTGTCGCCGCAGATGACAATGTGCCGTCTACTTAGATGATTCTGCAGGATTACTTCCGCACAAACACTGATGGTATAAACCTCCGCTTGCAAGATGCTTGACTAATTCCCCTTCTGCCTTCGCCAGTTTTTTAGCCATCTGTGATCTACCTTTATGTTAGTAACCGAAAATCGTTATCTATAATTGCCTTATTACATGGCGTTTTTCTGCCTGGTTCAGTCTTGAACCTTCTCTCAAAGGTCGTTATCATTAACTTGTCACCTCTATTGAGCTAGGAGACTTGATTTTGATTTCGAAATCGGGCCAAGCACAGAATGCATCGTGGTCCGCTCGTAGATAATCGAATTCAGGCAAACAATAGGCCGTAACTGCAGTCCTTGAGGCAACCAGGCTAGAAATTCTGAGAGCAAATGAAAGTACATATGTATCTAATTTCAAAAGTTTTTCCTCTAGAAAGGTTAGGGTAGGTTCATCTGGCAGGCGTTGAGCCGTACATAGATCTGCAGGTCAATAACGTTGCCAGTTGGAGCTCGCTTTTTCGCGTCAAAGTAGATATTTCAGTGTGTGGAGTGGTCTACGAATGTAGTAGAAGTGGTCTTGTCAGTGTCATCTGCTATTTATTTACCCTCTACTCCTTTGTGGTCGGGCACCCAATAGATAATCAATGTTCTGTCTGCGGTCAGCCAGTCAATGGCTTCCCGGCTGCGAAGGACGTTTTTGGATGAAATACTATATATATGAGGTAACTGCCTTAATTTCCGCCTGACTATGTACGTATGTATATGTTTACTTTTTAGTTAATTGTCGTTGCGGTATAGGCTAGATCTGCTGCTTTCCTCATTGCGAAAACCTCAGCTTGAAATATGCTGCAATGGTTAGGTAACCTTACTGCCCGCCTGACGTTCAGTTCCCGGCAATATATCAGCACCCACTCCTGTTACCATTTTAGAGCCGTCCGTGAAAATGTTTGGGGATCTACGGCTAGGTAACATTCCCTTGTGCCATCCCTCCTCTTCAATTGTTGTGCTACCTGTGCTTTCGGCTCGGAAGATGTCGTAAGGATTGATACAGGCCACGTTTTAACGGCGGGCCAAACAAGTTTATTTATTTACTTGTACGGTCTTTAGACCTTCGTTCCCATACTAGGAAATGGCGTATGTACATATGTGTATATACAAACGTGTTGTTGTTATATCTACATTTCATATTTTAATGTAACACGTTTTTTACAGTCTTGTGAGGAGATTTTGGGTCACAGTGCACATCCTCCTGATATCTATCTAAAGATAATATTAGCTACA